TATCTTATATGTGTGTCTACAGCATCAATACACTTGACCACTACAAAGAATTATACAAAAAAATCGAATTAAGTGACTTTATCACATCACTACTGTATAAGCAAGAAGATATATGTAAAAAAAAAAAAAAAGACAGAATAAAACCAGGGATTGGGTAGGATTGAAAAGCAAGGGTTACAGTTATGACCAGACAAAACCACATACAGATACTTGTGATCTGGCTACATATTCAACCTCCTTCAGTTTCACTGTGAAGCAAAACAGAGCACTCATAGCTGTTGCTATGACAACTCCATGACCAGAAGCCACTAGAAATTTATAATAGTTATTGGCATGCAAAAGAGTAAAGGAAAGAAAAATAAGCAATTAGCCATTACCATCTGTGTGTATACCTGATCAACTAATTCATCACCAGCACAAAAAAACAAAAAAACAAAACAAACAATAACAAATGTAAGCACTAAAGAAATTAAATTAGCTTTAATGAAGAGTGACAGATCACTCCAAAGACAAAGATTCCTTCCTCAGTTGCCAACTCACATTTGTTTTAAGTCCTTTTTTATCTTTAATTATGTTGGCTTAAAATTGGTGCAGCCGTCTGTTTTGTAGTCTAATATATGTCGTATTACAAAAAACATTTTTAGAGAAAAAAGGATAGGCCTAAAAAAAACAAATGAATAGAAAACAAATCAGTTTTTATTTGCATTGCTGCTTTTTGGTGAACAAGTTTAACAATATAATTTAATTATGAGTAATCTCACGATTTATCCAGGTATCTTGTCTTTAATTATGATCTATTAATGTAACAAAAATCAACCTGTGAGGCACTGTGAGTATAACAAATTGATTTTTTTTTTTTGAAAAAAAATCCCATTTATTTTCTTTTATAAAAGAATTTATTACAAAACATAAACATTTTCAAGGTGGAGTATTTAGAAGTGTGGGGAGCTACAAATTAGTGTTATTTCAAGTTTAGTTTAGTTTAAGAAAATCCACAAGGGTTCCTTGTCACACATGTTTTGGTTTTGTCCTAAATTGTTTGTTTTTTGGGATGGCCATATTGTATTTTTTTCAAAGGTTTTTCAAAGGAGGTTAAGCCAGATCATTGTCTAGCAATTCTTGGATACTTTGAGTGAAACACTGTTCCAAGTTTCCAACAACGACCTCTATTGATGGACATTATTTATCAAGAAAAAACAATTCTATTAAACTGGGAATCCTCAGACTGCCCATGTTTTAAAGCTTGAATGGGTGAATTGTATCATACAACTGGATAGGATACGTTTCCTAGAGCCCAAATCTCATCTCCAATTTCAAACTGCCTGGCAAGTTGGCAACCCTTTTTGAATTTCCTTAATACTGAATAGTGTACTACTACTTTCACAGTCATGACCGAATTACCTCTGTTGTTAATTCACGACTTTGCTTTGATTATGTTAAATGTCCCTCACATGTTGTTTTTTAGTTTTTGTTTGTTTTGTTGGTACATTATGTAAAACAGTAAAAAAAAAAAAAAAAAAAAAAAAAAAAATATATATATATATATATATATATATATATATATATATATATAAAAAGAAAATTCTGTTCAGTTGCAGAATTCCAAATTAAATACTACATTACCCACACTGCTCAAAAGAAAACCGGTAAAAAGAAAGCATTGTTTGTTATCGCTAAAACTCAATTTCTCTACATTTAAAATCCAGTCATTTGTTTATATATAGTGAATATTACAGAGTTAAAGCTAACTGTGTTTAATAATACTGTGTTTATTTAGTTATTCAAAATTATTTCCAAACTTATTAAGTACCATATTAAATAAAAAGAGCAAATTAGTGTGAGAACACAATCCCCTATATGCATAGATGGGAGTTTAAAATACTGTGAGTAACTACTCACAATCCACAAAATTTGAAACCAGAGAGGCAGCAGCTCCTTTCCATAAAGTGCAGCACAATCTAACCAAAAGCAGCAAAAATTATAAACATTAATCTTCATTTGCATACCAAATACAGTAAAGAAAAACCTTCTAGCTTCTACTTTGGCAGCTATCACATCATGACAGGGGTAAAATTAATTCAGACATGCTTTTTTGGAGTTTAATAATGATGCAATTACTGGTAAATTGGCAACTGCAAACCTCAGTTACATGCATGGCTCATTTAAATACTCTCCTCCAATCATTTTTGAAAAACTCAGCAAATAAATACAGTATGCAAAAAGGTCAGTCTATGCGAGTCATTTCTCTGAATGCCATTTTTTCACCTTTATTAACAGTATAGTTAATAAACCGTAGCTAAATGAGAATTTGTGCAGTCACAAAATTTCAGTTAAGCTGGCCATAAAACCAGCCCTGGCTAATCGGAAATACGTGCCTCTCCATGTTAATAATGTTGTCTGTGTGCATTTTGTTGCATGTTTCAGATGAAAAATCCACTAGAGGGCCCTGTCTACATTATTCGAATATGAATATTATATATGGTACGTATTGTTGTAAGATTCATGTACTTGTCCCTTGTACACATTCAAAAGAAGTCAAGGATCGTTGTATAGATCACCAAGACCAGCGAACCAATGACTCAAACCCTTTTCTAAACCCAACCAATATTGTTTTCAAAAGTAAACATAACGTGGTTTCTTTAGTACGACCACATAGTTTTACCATTTCCCCCCCTCTTTTATTAAACCATGTTTCACCAGAGTGCTTTGTATCACAAGTACATGACAAAAAGTGAACTACTGAGCAAACTGATACCAGAGATAATGTCCATATGGAGAAAGGTGAGGCAAACATAATAGATTACAGATTATAGACACAAGTAGGGATGCAATGATTAACCAATTTCACTATTAATCATGCTTTAATTCGTCATGGTTAATTCATTGTAAAGGCTTCTCAACACTGCATTTCTGCACGGAAAAAAACTGCTGCAACTAAACAAAGTTATGCTAATTAGTTTAAAGTTCCGAGCTTGTACACTAAGGCTAATACACATGCAAACTGGATTAAAGGGTAATTTAAACTTTGGCCGAGGCTATTAACTAAGGGCCTATCCCATCTTTTGTAAGCGCAAGTTTGTTAATTCCAAACAAGGAATGAGTACCATGATGCTCAAGTGTTTTTCAGGTACACCTAGTTAAAAGAACGCAGTGAGCGCACCGTGAGTCCTATGACAAGAACTGACTGTTCAGCTTCACACTTTGTATGGAATACATATACACATTTCTACTCTAAAGAGAAAAAAATACAAAAGAAAAATACCGAACATTTTTGTAATGTAGTTGTAATATCAAGTGTCTTTCAGACAGAGGTTCAGCAGTATTTCACTACATTTGTTCTCTTTAAAAGGGAAATACTTTGCTAATAGCTTAGATTTACATTAGACAATTACTATTTTTTAAAATTAATGAATTAATGTAATTATTTATTCATTGTTCTGTCATTTATTTTCACTGTAAAAGTATTACTTATGTTAAAAAACCAAAAACTTTTCACTTTTTTTTTAAAGTCAAAAAAGAGAAATTAACTATTGCTTTTTAAAATGTATTTATTGTTTAGTGCTGTATTAATTGGTTACTGAGCAGCAATAAATAACACTTTAAAATTTAAAGAGTTTTCACATGATTTTCTAAACTAGTAGTGTTTTTAAAATAAATGAATGCATAATATTTATGATAACCGTGAATCCATGATTATTTTTCAGACTATAATCGTACAAACAAAATCTAAAATCAGTGCATCCCTAGACACAAGTTGTTTTGTGGTATTTATTTGGTGTTGTGCAAAGAACTGCATGAAAATAATCCTTTATTCATCAATAATATAAGCCTGTAAATATTATTAGTGTGAAAAGAAACAGAAGTTGTTGCCTTGTTGCGTTCATTTTACCTAGAAACTGCAGTTAAATGTATGTTAATATAAATAAGTTTTTTTTTGTTTAACAAAAATGTAGGTTGAAGCACAACCTTTTTTCAACACATTTCTAAACATATGAATTTTAATAGCTAATTTCTAATAACTGATCTCTTTTATATTTGCCATGATGACAGTACATAATATTTCACTAGATATTTTTCAGGACACGAGTATTCCACTTAAATTGCGATTTAAAGGCCTAACTAGGTTAATTAGTTTGATTAGTTAATCCAGGGTAATTAGGCAAGTCATTGTTTTTTTTCGGTAGACCAGTGGTTCCCAAGGGGGGTTTCACAGGACAATGAGGGAGGGTCGCTTGGCAATTTCCAAAAATCAAATTCCTTTTATTAAACTATTAGAATTAGCATATTTATCCATAACCTATTGAAGAACAAAATAGTAGTTAATAGTAACATTGTTAAAATGTTAATGATAACTATTAAAAAACAACATGCAAATAAAAAGCCATCAGCCTTTCTATCTTTTTTTTGCAACCCATAGGGTGATTACGTTATATTAAAGACAATATATTTATTATATATATATTAAAGCAATAGCGCCAGATGCAGCACATTCATTTTATAGCACCAGGTTAAACTTTCTGAGCACTCACATACATTAAAAATATAATCAGGCTACAAGTGGAAAAAACTGGGAAAAAGTTCGTCAAAAATATATATATTTTTTTTTTCTGCATGAATACTATACAGATCGAGAAAACCAATACCAGAACTTGACTGTTTTAAGCTTTTAAGAACTGACTGTTCATTCATCTACATTAGTGGCAGCTATTCTGTTTCTTGCCTGTTCAGCATGGATTGCCATCACTTCTTTATTAAAGCTCGGAGAAAGAGAATGTGATGTACTGAATATACGCGCGTGTGTGTGTCTGTTTGACAAACGATGGATTCATAAAGCAGCTAATCAAAAATAACAACCACACAGACTGGGAAGTATAAGAAAGATGTTCTTGTCTATTGCATTTGTGTCATCAGCACTTCTATGCTTAGGAAAAGGAAGATAAAATGAAGAAGTGCTGACCAATTTATTAAACACCCACATGTGTGCAGTTAGGACAACTCACAGGCATGTCTGCATAGAAGTAATGCTTCCTATCGAACAGTGACTTCTTGTTTATGGTGCAGTTGAGAGCAAGGCCTGTTAATACAGCAGCCTCCACACATCTTCTGTTCAGCACCTTAGGAAATGTAGTGGTAAGACATAGAACAACCTCTATAAATGCAAAAATACATTATACAGTGCTTTCGGAAATTATTGATAGCACTTCACTTTTCCCACATATTTCTATGTTACAGCCTTATTACAAAATGGATTAATTTCATTTATTTCCTTAAAATTCTACACACAATACCCCATAATGACAATGTGAAAAAAGCTTTTTTTTAAATTGTTGCAAATTTATTAAAAATAAAAAACTGAAAAATCTCAAGGATATAAGTATTCACAGCCTTTGTCGTAAAGCTTTAAATTGAGCTCAGGCACATTCTGTTTCCACTGATCATTAATTAATTAATCGGAGTTCACCTGTGGTAAATTCAGTTGATTGGACATGATTGGAAAAGGCATACACCTCTCTATATAAGGTCCCAGGGTTGACGGTGCATGTCAAAGCACAAACCAAGCATGAAGACAAAGGAATTGTCTGTAGACCTCCGAGACAAGATTGTCCCGAGGCACAAGGCTGTGGAAGGTTACAGAAAAATTTTTGCTGTTCCAAAAATTCCAATAAGTTCCAATAAGCACAGTGGTCTCTATCATCCGTAAGTGGAAGATGTTTGTAACCACCAGGACTCTTCCTAGAGCTGGCCAGCCATCTAAGCTGTGTGATCGGGGGAGAAGGTCCTTAAACAGAAAGGTGATCAATAACTCGATGGTCACTCTGTCTGAGCTCCAGAGCTCTTCTGTGAAGAGAGGAGAACCTTACAGTAGGACAACCATCTGTGCAGCAATCCACCAATCAGGTCTGTACGGTAGAGTGGCCAGATGGACACCACAGCCACCTGGAAGCCACCAAAAAATCTTTGGTCTGATGAAATTGACTAAAATTGAACTCTTTGGAGTGAATGCCAGGCGTTACGTTTGGAGAAAACCAAGCACCGCTCATCACCAGGCTAATACCATGCCTACTGTAAAGCATGGTGGTGGTGTTTTTCAGCAGCAGGAACTGGAAGACTAGTTAGGATAGAGGGCAAGAGGAATGCAGCAATGTAAAGACATCCTGAATGAAAACTTGCTTCAGAGTGCTCTTGACCTCAGACTGCGGCGATGGTTAATCTTCCAGCAGGACAATGACCCAAAGCATACCACCAAAATATCAATGGAGTGGCTTCACAACAACTTGGTGAATGTCCTTGAGTAGCCCAGCCAAAGCCCAGACCTAAATCCTATTGAACATCTGTGGAGAGATCTAAAAATGACTGTACACCTGTCACGGTTGTGGTTTGGAAAAAGGAGCGTAGACTCAATTGCAGAAAATGATATGGGTTTTATTAATAATAAAATACAAATAAAACAAAAAGGCTAAACAAACTACCCCGAGGGGGAAAACATTACTATAACACAAACAAACTTGGCTGGGCTGGCAAGACAAGACTGGAGCAGGAACACAGCGGGAGTATAGAAGACAAACTGGCACAGGACAGCAGACATGAGGAGAATATAAACAGAAGCAAATTAACACAAACAGATGAACATAATTAACTAATAATGGGTTAACAAGGAGGGTGGGATTAGACAATAGACGGGAGAGCACATGACACAGAGACAACACAAGCCATGTGCTCACATAAAACAGGACAAGAACAAACAGCCAATGAGAGAACTCATTAACCACGCGTTCACAATAACAGGACAAGACTGAAGCACGTGGTCACAATGTAAACACAGAGCCATGTGCTTAGACGCAAGACACGAGCACACGATAGATGAACACCTTACCGTGCGCTCACACATATGTCTCATCTCAGCGTCAACCAAAACCGAAACCAACTAGACAAAGATGCTGAGAATGAAACAGCACGATGCCGACAGAACAAAACACAAACACGAGTACAAGAGCGCGCGTCCGAGGCACGCAGAGCTTCGACACCTCCGACGGTGTGTACACACAGAGACACACGCACAACGACAGAAACAGGACAAGACAGAGCTAGTGTCCGGACTCTGCCACCAAAACAAGAATTTACAAGACCAGAGTGGCAGAACCCTGACAACACTGTCACTTCCCATCCAACCTGAAAGAGCTTGAGTGGTTCTGCAATGGGCAAAAATTCTCAAAGACAGGTGTGCCAAGCTTGTGGCATCAAATTCAAAAAGACTTGAGGCTGTAATTGCTGCTAAAGGTGCATCAACAAAGTATTAAGCAAAGGCTGTGAATACTTATATACAGTACATGTAATTATTCAGTTTTTTATTTTTAATAAAACTGCAACAATTTAAAAAAAATCACATTGTCATTATAGGGTATTGTGTGTAGAATGTTAAGAAAATAAATGAATTTAATCCATTTTAGTAGAAGGCTGTAACAAAAAATGTGGAAAAAGTGAAGCGCTATGAACACTTTCCAGATGCACTGTATGTTATTTTACAAATATGTTTATTTTATTGATTCACTTACTGGCAGTGTCCCTGGTAATGAAGCATCAAAATGAGAGACAAGTGAGTTTGGTGGATCAGAGAAACTAACATGAGATCCAGAGAAGAGCTTTGATTTGGAGTGAATCTGAGCATGGATTTCTAGACCCACAACACCGACCATCTGAGGAAGACTAGAAAACATAGAAAAATTAATGATGAGGAGGTCAAACCTGAAAGTTTCTTTCATAATTAAGGCATTACGAGAATATTCTAAAATGATTAAATACATTATAAAGCTAAATGCTTGTTTCATAAGGATTTAATTTTGGTGAGACCAGGGGCAAGATTCAATAAAACCTTCAACAGAGGTACGTTAAGAAATATATTAAGATAAACTCTGAGGAGTTCTTAAGAATTTGCTTAAGCATAACTCTTGTAAAAAAAAAAATTTAAAACTCATGTGGAAAAGTGGATTTCTTCCACATAACTTTAAAGTATAGTCTACAACAAATCATTATAGCTTATGTCTTAGCATCAAAATTAGCATCAACATCAGTCAGGTTTTTGACATTAGCCATCAAAAGACAATTTACACACAGAAAAATATGTAAACTACTCATCAAATTAGACATGTACGACAAGAAGAGAAGCAAATTGCATTGATGTTGTTGTTGTTGTTGTTGTCTCTTTTGGTCAGATGGCCTCTCAATTTAATGTCCCTAAAGCTAATTTTTCCAGATATTTACAAATTCAAGATTCTGTGCGCAAAAAATAATTGCTTCAGATCTGGACACCATACTGGGCATAGATCCCTGTGCTAAATGTTCAATTTCTAAATTATTTAATATAATTGTTAATCTGCAATTTTCTTCTGATAACTACTGGACCATCTGGTCTCAAGACATTGGAGTTGACATTAACGAGCGACAAGGAAAGCGGTCTCGAACAGGATTAATTCTTCCTCTGTGCACGTCACAGGTCCATACAATACATGGTAGTGCATAGAGCTCATTGGTCCAAGAGCAGGCTAGCTTGCATCAACCTGTCTATTGACCCTGAGTGCGACAGGTGTCATTCTGGTTCAGCTACTCTTATCCATATGTTTTGGTCCTGTCCTTTCCTGCTTTCTTTTTGGAGAAAATTTTTCCTCTTGTTGTCTGCTATTACCACTGTTCAAATTCCACCTTGTCCAATTATTGGTTTATTTCGGGTTATCCTACCAGGGCACACTTTACCCTCTCATTTGCTAGAGTTTGTAGCCTTCTTAACCCTTCTGGCTAGGCGATTATTCATCTGAACTATTTTCATTAAACTATGAGAACCCCTTCGCAAACATGGCCAAACTCTTCAGCTTAACCCCTTTCTTTCTGATTGAGTCCACACCCCCTTCTCCCATATATACATGTATATAAAATAAATTACTGGACTGCACGTGTGTTATCAGACTGTGTGTACAGTACATCCACACTTGATTACTGACCTTGACTTTTTGTGTGCCTTGTTAATGTACATTATACTGTGTCATTAATACCACAATTGCTGGCTAATGTGCTTGTTGAAAAAATATTTAAAGCTTTATCTGCCTTAAAACAAAATATATGATTATATTCCTTTAAATGAAATTTATCACAGTTCGTTAATAAAAGTACATTCAAATATATTTAAAGGGCAGAATGGCAATGTTAGTTTGCAGTCTTTTATTATATATATATATATATATATATATATATATATATATATATATATATAAAGAATAAAAGCTGGCTAATACTTATAAGCTGGCTAATACTTATACTTATATATAAGTACCCAGCTAGCAAAGTTCACAGTTCACGGAATATACTTTATTCTTTATATATATATATATATATATATATATATATATATATATATATATATATATATATATATATATATATATATATATATATATATATAAGAATAAAAGACCGCAAACTAACAATGACATTCTTCCCTTTAAATATTAGAATGTACTTTTATCAACGAACTGTGATAAATTTATTTCATCATTTAAATTCACCCATCATTTAAATTCATTCATCATTTATTTAATAATTTAAAGGAATATAATCATATATTTTGTTTTAAGGCACATAAAGCTTTAAATATTTTTTTTCAACAAGCACATTAACCAGCAATTGTGGTATTAATGACACAGTAACATGTACATTAACAGGGCACACAAAAAGTCAAGGTCAGTATTAAAGTGTGGATGTACTGTACACACAGTCTGATAACACACGTGCAGTCCAGTAATTTATTTTATCAGAGCCGAGAAAGACTGCTTGCATACGGGTCATATTGGAGTGATTGTCCTACCTACAGAGCACTTTGCAGGACACTTGATGCCCTACCTTTCAGTCTGTGTATTTAGCTGATGTTGATGTTTGCATCCGGTTGTCCATGTTGTCCTTATTATGAAGTTAGAATTACCAATATGGCATAAACTTTGTGATTTATTAGCATATTTCCTCAGCCTGAAGAGTACACCGCTGTATCCTGAAGTGGAGGCTGCCATGCTTGTGTTTATGTGAGGGCAGCTGGGACATGTAGTTTTACAGAGCATTCAGAAACTCGCAACTCTGCTGCTGAATGATAAGGAAAAAACTCAACTCCCACAATGCCACAAGCGCAACTGCGGAGTTTCCGGCGGTTACTTATGACGGCATTCACAATCCGCGAATACATAACTGAGGGGCAGCTGGTGGCGGGAGATTCACGCATGGTCCTGCACATGAACGATCAGTTTTTGGCACTTCTATATCGTCAGAACTTTTTATTTCAATAACAATGGCACTGCAGCACAACGGCACCGCTTCCAAACTGGCCAAACACAACGGCGAAACTAGCGATCATCACCCCTCTACAAACGGAAAGGAAGAAGCCGAGCACGAACACGCTGATCGGTTCACTTTCACCTCCGAACCAACACTTGAAGACATCCGCCGCATGCAGGCTGAGTTCACGGACGAGAGGAACTGGAACCAGTTTCACCAGCCGCGGAACCTGCTTCTGGCTCTGGTAGGAGAGGTCGGCGAGGTGTCGGAGCTATTCCAGTGGCGTGGGGAGGTGGCGGAGGGTCTACCTGACTGGACCGAACCGGAGCGGGAGCATCTGGCCCAGGAGCTCAGCGACGTTTTGATCTATCTGGTTGAACTGGCCGAGAAATGCCACGTTGATTTACCTCGAGCTGTCCTGCGCAAAATGGCATTAAACCGACTCAAGTACCCAGCTAGCAAAGTTCACGGATCAGCTAAGAAATACACTGAATACAAGGACTGATGTGGATGATGTGTTTTAGCCAAAGACGATCGTTACTGAATAGTTTATAACAGATGGAGCTGATACCGAGTTCCTTAAAACCCCCTTAAAATCACCGTGCTCCTAAAGGTCCTAGTTTTCTTCGTTTAATCTACAGGTGGACACTCTACTCTGTTTTAGGTTGATCTTTTAAAAATATGATTGCAAGAAACTTGTTTGCACATTTTCCTACTGTAAGCAACTAAAGTTTTATAGTTGTTTTCTTTTATTTTCCAAATTATTTTACCAAAGCTGTTCTGGACAACGTTACTTTGTACTGTGTAGTGTTTTTGCATCACAGTAAAGTGTTTTGCAACACACATGGTCTGTTTGCAGATATTTACTCTGGAAACTGGAATGTTTTTGTTATTACAGCTAGATACGTTGGCTCTCTAAGTGTTCAGTGTTTTGGATGTGCATGAACCCTTAACAGTATAGCATCTTAATATATGGTCCCTCAAGATGCTTCCTATTCTGGCAGAAGATTTGAACCTGCACTCAAGTCTATCTATCTCTATATATATATATATATATATATATATATATATATATATATATATATAAACTGCATGTGCGATTATGATCAGGATTGCAGTTAAACTTTATTCTAACAATCTGTCTTTATTGATTAAACTGTTTCTGCAAAGACATGTCATCGGTTATGTGGTTGGTAATAAAAAAAAACACTTTAAAGGAGGAAATCTCTGTACCAGTAGTGCATTTGTATGCAATTTAATTTGGTCTCAGCATTAAAGTTAGGCAGATCTTCCAAAGTACTGCTACAATAGCTTTTTTTTTAATTAAAAAAATAATATATATATATATATATTTTTTTTAAAGTTAGTAATATTTTCATTCATTTTCTTTTCTGGGGTTTTTACAGTAGAATGAACACCAACCTTATCATGCGTATGTTTTACACAGCAGATGCCCTTCCAGCTGTAACCCATCACTGGAAAACAAAAACATCCACACACACACACACACACACACACACACACACTCTGCAAACAATTTAGCTTACCAAATTCACCTATAGCGCATGTCTTTGGACTTTGGGGAGAAATGGAGCACCAGGTGGAAACCCACACCAACACAGGGAGAACAAGGAAACTTCATACAGAAACACCAACTGACCCAGCCAAGGCTCGAACCAGCAGCCTTTTTGCTGTGAGGCAAACGTGCTACCCACTGTGCCACCGTGCAGCCTAGTAATATATTTTAACTTGGGTAAATGTTTTTTAAAAGATCCAATTTCCTGTCAAAAAAGTTTGTATAGTAATGTTTATTTTTTATGGTTCTTTTATAGTTAAAACCAAATAAGCCAACACAATTTTGTGTACGAACAAATACTTTGTGAAAGTACACATTTAAAAGATATTCAGAAATGCATTTCTTAATACTGAATATATTAGTTCATAATGACTGTTACCTTGTTGTCCACTTGCATACTTCACTTACACAATCACAACTAATGCAGTACTGTGCTTATTATGTAACCTGAAAGTTAGCATGACTTGTTGCCTCAACAAAAGCTGAATAGGACTTTGCCTTTTTTGTTATGGCAGAATGACTACACCTTTTGTTCAATATGATAATCTGCACTGCTTTTAGTAACTGTAGACTAAACCAGGGGTGTCCAAACTCAGTCCTGGAGGGCTGGTGACCTGCTGAGTTTAGCTCAAACTTGCTTCAACACACCTGCCTGGAAGAATAGTATATCTAGTAAGAGCTTGATTAGCTGCTTCAGATGTGTTTGATTGGGGTTTGAGCTAAACTCTCCAGGACACTGGCCCTCCAGGACCGAGATTGAACACCCCCTGGACTAAAACTGCGGGGATCAGGGACCTGTAAAGCAAGAGTTGTATTTTAAATTAGCATATAGGAGATAATGCAACATCAACCTGTAAAAATAGTTTACCAAACAGCACATGGCTCCATATTTCATCACAGTGTTGCATTGACCCTTTTTATTCAGTGTTTCACATGTGAAAGGTTAACAAGTGCTGATTACATGAAGCAGCCTGAAGTTGGTATATCGGTTATCAGCTAATTATCGACTAGCTAATCTGTTTTCGCTAGTGAACTCCTGATTGAAATAATTTGAAAGTTGACAATTTACTCGCCCTTAATTGGTTCCAAACATTTGAGTTTTTTTTTTTAAATTTCTGTTGAACGCTAGCAAAGATATTTTGAAGAAAGTTAGAAACCTGTAAACATTGACTTTTTTAAGCAGGAAAAGCATATACTATGAAAGCCAATGGTTATTGTCGATTTAAAACATTTTCCTGTTTTTAAAAAATAAATAATAAAGTAAATAATGCCAGAATTCTCTATTTTAGATGAACTACTACTTTAACCCTACACTTCTTTCATATTTTAGTATTTTGGTTCAAATTGGGTCACTCTTAACCTGTTGTTGAGAACAAAACATGTCAACATTCATATGGAAGCTAGAATTCATCATGACAGTTATCATTGGTTACTTTGGAAAAAGATGGAAATGGAATGCTAACTAGCAAAGTTAAGTTCTGGACACATAATTAAAACGGCTCATTAGTAGATGTTTGGTCTCCTGAGTTGAGTGTCAGATTATTAAGATGCTCAAGCACTCAGGAGCAACATTAAGATTGAAGACTGTTAGATGAACCATTTGACAAAGGCAAAGCTGGCCATTGTGGCACAGATGATTTCAGTGCATGTATAGCATATTCAAGTTCATCATTAGATTATTTAAATGTTCATTTTCGTAATAAATTTTTTTCCCAGAGCCTTTTCTTTACAGAACTGCATTTTCTCACTGCCCTGTTACTGATCACACATCAGAGCAGGGTGTGATCAATAGATTTGATCTTCTTCCAGCTCTCTGCTGCCGGTCGAAGAGGGCAATCATCAGCATTCCATTCTGACTGGATTTAAAAGATTCATCTGTTTAATCAGATGAGCATACTGTTAGATAAGGCCTCTGCAAATGAAGCTGTTTTTATTGCAGTTTCAAAGCAACAACAGCATAATCCAAATGATGCTAAGAACTTGCATCTCCCAGACACCGTTGATCTATTGTGTGTATCTCTCTCTCTATGGGTCCACCATGGTGGGGGGCAGAGTGAGCTGTCAGCGTCTTGCACCATAGGGGACGCAGTACTGCTGCTTTCTCCCTCGCTCTGTAATTTTTCATGCCACTCAGACTTTAGTAGCCAGACAGTGATTTTCCCAGCATCTGTTTTTCATTTGATGTCATTCAGAGCTGACTATGGAAGGCCTGCCACAGTCTTTGTCGCTCTTTCAGTTCTGTTCACAAATGTCAAAATCCAACATGCTCTTTCTTCTCTCTTGACAGCTGAAAGCATTCTCAGAATTAAAAATCTTGAAATAGTGCTTTTAAAAAGCTTATTTTGGCCTATTCTTAAGAGTTTTTCCAAATCCACAATAACCGGTTTCTTTGAATGGGGCTATTTTCTTTTGAGTCGTATCATCAAGTCTTATTTATTCCCTGAAAGAGAAGTCCACAGGGAATGAAAACACCAACTTCTCTTGCCCTTTTCACAGGCTTCACATTTCATCCCATTTCTCCCAATTTCCCCTAATCACACTCATTCTAACAGAGATACCATAAAGTAGACTGATTTCTGATAAGATTTGTATTTGTTATTTGTATTCAGTTCACCACAAGACATATACACATGGAATTCCTCTGAAATTTGACTGAAATGTCAAGGTTACAATAGTGCTATTCAGAATTGCATATAAAAAAAGAGGTCAAATTTGGAGGGCCATAGCAGCAGAATATAATATACTGTAAGACAGAAACAATTGTCTGGTTTTGATTCCATTTAGTCTTATTTTTTCATGGATACAACAACCTTAAACTATTTCACTAGTAAGGAACCAACAAACTGTGCCAGAGGACTAAACTTCCATAAAGAGACAATTTATCAATATGTACACTCACCGGCCACTTTATTAGGTACTCCTTACTAGTACCAGGTTGACCCCCTTTTGCCTTCAGAACTGCCTTAATCCTTTGTGACATAGATTCAAAAAGGTACTGGAAATATTCCTCCGAGAATTTGGTTCATATTGACATGATAGCATCACACAGTTGCTTCAAATTTGTTCGACTGCACATCCAAGATGTGAATCTCCCGATTCCATTCCACCACATCCCAAAAATGCTTTATTGGATTGAGATCTGTTGAATGTGGAAGCCATTTGAGGACAATGAAGA